GGATCAAGATAATTAAAATAAAACAAAACTGGTTGCCACCCTTGATTCTGACTCATGGCGATCCCATGAGTGTCAGAGTAGAATTGTACTCCATAGTGCAATGGCTGATTTTTTCCAGTAGATCAACAAATCTTTCAAGGCACCTCTGCGTGGACTCAAACCTCTAACTTTTTAATTAGCATCTGTGTGCATTAACCATATGCCCCACCCAAAGAACCCTAATACTAATAATAAGCAAAAAAATTTTTAAAAAAATGGTTGCATGGTAGAGGCCTGATTCTTTACCAATATGTTCATACTCAGATGTCCATCTGGTGCTCATGATGAACTGAGATGCCTACAAGGCAAAGAGTTGGGTCCCAATGTCATAGGGCCAAGAACTTGCCCTGAAGGTTGGTGGCAGGACTGGAACATTGATCCCTGCCTGCTTTTTTACCTTCCCTTTGTCCTCTGCTCCTCAGTACCACAGCCAGGGTGAGCCATTTGCCAGTATGGTGGACGTGCTGTGCAACCATGACTTGATGGACTTCCCATCCTTCCACGCTGATGGAAAGCGGAAGAACAAGCTGGTAGAGCTGTACCACATCTTCTCATACCTTGGCAGCTCCCTGGGCAACATCCTGCAGTACCAGAGGACCCTCAACCCCAGTGATCAGAACCTCCACAGTAAACTGAGCTCCTCAGTGGGCACCATGCGAGGAATCCTCAGCAATGTGTTCTGCCACCTGTGCAACAAGTACCACGTGGGCCACATGGATGTAGCCCCTGTCTCTGATACCTCGGCCATGAGCACCTTTGAGAATAAGAGGCTGGGCTGTCGGCTTCTGGGGAAGTACAAGCAAGTTATCACAGAGCTGGCCCAGGCCTTCTAACCACAGGATCTTGAAGTGTGCTGTGGATCAAGGGATCCTGGAAGCCAGATCTAGAGGTAGAAGGTTCTTTACACTGTGGCAGGAGATCATCACTAAAGTCAAGTGGGGCTGCTGGCAGAAACTGAGGGGCTCCATGCCAGTCCACTTCACTCTGTGGGGGGCTGGAATGTAACCAAACAAGGTCAAAATTTCCACAGGTAGGGTATTGATACTGTGCTGATTAGAAGGTGGCATCCCTTCCTTTGGAAGATGGCAGCCAAGCACCAAGGTGTCAAGTTGGCAAGTGGAGTGTGAGCTGGACTTCTGCCCCCACCAGATCCTGGGGTGTGGCTTTTCACACTTAGCAAAGAAGTCATCTCCAGTGGCCCTGACCAGAGGGCAATTGAGGGACCCTGGAACTGTCCTGACTCCCACACAGTGGGAATATCCTTCTTGGGTGTCTCAAACACTAGTGAGGATCCAAGGGCTTGACTGAAGAGACCTCAGGAAGCTAGTGCAATGTAGGGGAGTCACTGAGTCTTGTTCTGGAGAGGGTGTCATGAACCCACCCTTCCATACTCAGACTAGGAGTCTATGGTCCCCTTCTTCCCCACTTCCCTCATGGCCCTACCTGTGTCTGGGCTCAGAGACAGGGAATCCAATCCCTTCCTTTGAGCTGTGGATCAGGCAAGTCTGGAAACACTCTCCAGTCTGACAGATGGGACAGCTGCTGAGAGACTGGCTTCTTCTCAAACCCTGAGCTGGTGGGTGGAGGTCCTAGCAGTTCACTCAAGTAGATTATGATGCTCTGCATTCACTTTGCCTTTTTCTGTCCTTCTCTGAGCACTTTATCCAAGTGCACCAGCTGGGGGCCAGGCATCAGGCAAGCCCTGAGACTAAGCTCAGGGGCGGGAGTTACCTGTCTCTATGGCAGAACTAAAATACAGAGATTCATGGGGGCATCATAGTCAATTGACACAACATAGCACATGAAAATCTTGTCTACATCCTACTTTGGTGAGTAGTGACTGGGGTCTTAAAAGCTTTTGAGCAGCCATCTAAGATGCAACTATTGGTCTCTTCTTGCCTGGAGCAAAGAAGAGTGAAGAAAAGCAAAGGCATCTGAAAACAATTAGTCCAAACATATGATGGACCATGAGGACCTCAGCCTTCACAACCCCGAGACCAGAAGAACTAGATAATGCCTGGCTACCAATGCCAACCACTCAGAAAGGGATCAAACTTGGAGATCCTGGCTAGAGTGGGAGGAAAAATGTGGAACAAAATTCAAAAACACAAAAATGACCAGAATTACTGGTCAGATAGAGATTGGTGAAATCCCCAAGACTATGGCCCAGGTTTATCCTTCGGGCCTAGAAATGGACTCACTTCTGTGGATTGGCTCTCAGCCCAACAGCAGAAAGACCTACATGCAGAGTACCTACCCCAGGGAGATACATCCAACTACTCTTACATCAATCAACCATGAGACATCAGGGGGCAGCATTCACACAGAGGGAGAGCTGGACAGACAGGCATGCAGAGATAAGAAGGGCACAGGGAGGGCGCAGTCACAGGGAAGAGGGGGAGGAGAGTTTTTTATGGTTGGGGATGGTAATCAGGGCTGTGAAATCAAATGTGGACAAATTGTTGAACGTCAAACAAACCTGCTTTGTTCATTTGCACCCACAGCATGATAAATAAATAAATAAAAATGGAAAAACCTCTGACTGTGGAAATGAAATAAAATAAAATAAAATATGGAGATTCACCTCTGTTCTCATGGGTCAAAGTCACTTTTGTGCAGATGTCATCTGCTGCCCTTCCCATCTCTCTGCTCTGTCAGTGGGCAGTTCAGAGATGGCTGAATTATTCCAAGCTGAACAAGAAAGCTGAAGCCAGGATTGGTGACTCCAGAGTCCCATGCTACCTGGGTCTCCCATCATCTCATCACCTTGTGGAATCACCCATGCTGGACACACCTGGGCAGCCTACCTGCCTGACCCACCACTGTCTCCTTCACTCTCCCCTCACCCACACTCCTTCCACACCAGCCCCAATTCTGCCCTTGGACCCCTTGACATTCCCCTTGCTGATACCCATACGCCCTCCACTGCAATCCTGATTCTTCCCGTCGATCCTTGTCCATAGCACTCTTTCTAGAACCAGCCTGGCAGATCAGCATCCCCTGTGCACAGCATCCTGATTTATTGAACACTTGTGTTAAAAAATTGTTTTGTTTTTTTTTTCTCATTTTCTTCAGCTGTTGTTTACCCACTCCTGGCATCCTGGGCCATATGCCTGAACCAGAGATGATTTTAAGGAGGACTGTGAGCCTTTCAGCAGAAGAAAGGGACATTATCCATACATGTATTAAAAAAAAGAAAAAAAGAAAAGAAAAGAAAGCATTGCTAGTTTGTTTGTCTCTCTTCCTCCTCTTCTTCTGCCTCCTTCTCCTCAGCTCCCATGGCCTCTCCTGGAGCAACTTCTTTGACAGGGGTAGTCCAGTCCTGCTTGCTGGCCCTCCACTACAGACATGGAAGGTGAGGTTGGAGCCCTAGACTTGAGAGACGTAGTCATTTCCCTTCAAATAGTACAGGGGTTCTGATTTAATTGGTCCTGGGTAGAGATCAAGCTTCACTGTTGTTGTTAGGTGTCATGGAGTCAACTCAATTTCATAGCAACCCCATGTGACAGAGTAGAACTGCCACAAATTGCTTGGCTGTAATCTTTATGGAAACATGTTGCCAGTTCTTTCTCCTGTGGGAGTGGGTTTGAACCACCAACATTTTGGTTATCAATGGAGCACTTAAACTTTGCACCTCCAGGACTCCTTGCTCAAGCTTTAGTGTTTTTGTTTGTTATTTGTTTTGTTTTCTCAGTCTCCAATTTATTCTAGGAGACTGTGGTGGCATAGTGCCTAAGGCATTTGACGGCTAACAGGAAGGCTGGCAATTCAAACCCACCAGCCACTCCTCAGAAGGAAGGTTGGGCAATCTACTTCCGTAGAGATACCACTTTGGAAACCCATGGAGGGGTCGCTATGAGTCTGAAATGACTCCACGGCAGTGAGGTGTTTTTTTTGTTGTTGTTGTTTGTTTGTTTTTTGAAGTTATTCTAATGTGAAGCAAGAGTTGAAAGTCACTGAGTTAGGGGAACACTGTTGCTGTTAAATGCTGTCAAGTTGGCCCTCGACTCATGGCAACACCTTGTGTTACAGAGTAGAACTTCTCCCAGTGACTTTGTTGGTTGTAATTTTTACAGAAACAAACTGCCAGGCCTTTTTGTAGTGGTTAAGGCATTTGGCTACTAACCAAATGTCGGTGGTTCGAACTCACTACCTGCTCTATGAAGAAAAGATGAGGTGGTCTGCTTCTATGAAGATTTACAGCCTTGGAAACCCAATGGAGATTGCTACGAGTTGGAATCAACTCGATGGCAGTGAGTGTGGTACTTTTGTTCTTTTTCTTCTGTGAAGCTGTTGGGTGAGTTGGAAGCACCCAGCAGTGTGGATGGAAGAGGCAACACAAGGTGGAGAGGCCCAGAGGAGGGAGCTGTGTTCTAGGGGCCTGGAGTGTGTGGGCTGTGGTTTCTCTGGTCTCTGTGTCAGGAAGGACTGGACCAGGGGCCTACAGAGTATGCTCTATGGACCAGTGCCTGCCTCTCCCAGGAGCTGATTAGAAAGGTACTATCTTACCACCCCACCTCACACCCCAACAAAATCAATTACTGGCAACCAAAAATTCCCTTCCGTTGAGTCAATTCCTACTCATAGTAACCCCCATTGGATTTCCAAGGTGGTAAATCTTTATGGAAGTAGATTGCCCATTTGTCCTTCCATGGACTGGCTGGTTGGTTTGAACAGCCAACCTTCTGGTTAGCAGGAAATGCCTTAGGCACAGAACCACCAAAGCTCCTTAGAACCAACAAAAACCCACTGCCGTTGATTTGATTCCAACTCTTGGCAACCCCCATTGGGTTTCTGAGGTGGTAAATCTTTATGGAAGTAGATTGCCCAGTCTTGCTTCTATGGAATGGCTAGGGGTTTGAACCACCAACCTCCTAGTTAGCAGTCAGAAGCCTTAGGCACTGTGCTACCAGAGCTCCTTCATTATTGGCAAGTCAACTACAACCTATGGTGACCCCATATGTCAGAGTGGAACTCTTCTCCATAGGGTTTTCTTTTCTTTATTTTAATGGTTCTTTTGATATATAATTTATATATCATAAAATTCACCTGGCATAAGTGTACAATTTAATGAATTTCAGGACATTTACAGAGTTGTACAATCTAATTTGGGGAGCTCTGGTAACGTAGTGCCTAAGGCACTTGACTGCTAACCAGAAGGCTGGCAGTTCAAATCCATTAGCCACTACTCTGAAGGAAGATTGGGCAATCTACTTCCATAGTGATACCGCCTTGCCTCGGAAACCCAAGGAGGGGTCTCTATGAGTCAGGTCCGACTCGATGGCACATAACAACAACAATAACACAATCTAATTTGAGGACATTTCCGTCACTTCAAAATAAACCTAGTGCCTATGTTCTGCTTGTTGGCTTCATATTTTTTATTTTTTGTTGTTGTTGAGCTTCATAGAGATTTCAACGGCTGACTTTTCAAAAGCAGGTTGCCAGACTTTTCTTCTGGGGTGCCTCTGGATGGACTCGAACCTCCAGTCTCTCAGAAGCCAAGCACGTTAATCATTTGCACCACTCTCGGAGCTGCTGAACGGGATCCATAAGGTCCCAGGGATCCCTGTGCACACTGGTGTCTGAGATGTGCCACCCTGCAGCCCCTCCATCTCTCAGCACTCATGAGTCTAAGAGTTTCCCCAAATACAAATCACTACACCATAAGAGCCAGCTGCAAGGGAAGGACAGGCTGCCAGGCAAGACCCAGCTCCCAACGGTTTCTGACTCCTTCATTCCAATCTCAGCTCCTGTGTCTTGGCCCCTCCTGGCCCAGCTAACTGAATTTCACCCCAGGGTCAGCCACACCTAGCCACTATCAGCAGCTCCT